TTAATTTCAATTTACTAAATATTCCTCCACATCCCATATGATTTTTCTATGCCCTTAAAAAAATTTTCTCATATTTCTAAGACACCTAATTTAATTTTTGTATCTTTAAAAACACTATTCCCGCATATAGGAAATTCAATAAAATATTCACAATACATAGAAAAATTCATAAAATCATATAAAAAAATTTAACTCCCCTCTAAAAAAATATTCTAGGAAAATAAAATATTTTTCATGCATAAAAAACATACTTTAATTAATTATTTCATGCAAAAACTATTATTCACACACCGAAAATAACTAAAATATTTTTCAAGCATGGAAAACCTATTTTAACCATTCTAAATATCTCTCCTAGTATTCAATAATTATTTATCATTCTCAAGATATTTGTCACATAGGTTTTAATATTAAATTTTTATTAAGTTTTTATTTTAACGGATATCGACCATTACATAATTGATTAAGGACTCAAGTTTTTGTATAAGAAAAGGTGATGCCGTCAAGAAGAAAGAGTCTTCTAGTCAATATCAATACTTTAGAGTTTGATGTGTGCCATTGAAAAAGACGGTCTATAATTAATATTTATATAGCTAGATTATGAATTTTTTAAAACTTAATTATTACACTTTCATCCACCATGAATTTGCTTAGCCAATTACTAAAATGAGCTTTAAATTCTTCATTATCACTTATAAATTTAAAACAAAACATGACAAATGGATATTTCTTCATTGAAAACCTCCTACCACAATAATAAGATAACCATAAAAGTCAAATGAATGTTATTTTTCATGACCGAGTTGAGTTGGGGAAAGAAGATTTTGACATACAAATCTATCAAGTGACTCCTAACCACACCTACCTTATATGAAAGAGGTAAATGACAAAGATGCCTCTATTCAATCTTTGTTAAAGTCTCTAGATTTTTATAATTTTGTCAATCTCATGAGTTTTTGATGAGGAAACCGAAAAAGGCAATTGTGATGGCCATTGTCCAAATATCTAAGGGATAATATGGTAAGTTTTTGTTATTAATTATCCAATGGGAAAAATAAAAACGAATTATGAGAATGATGTGCTCTTCACTAATAGTGATTATTGAGAGAAAAAGACCAACTATAACCATCCACTCTGTTACCATCTATTTTTTTAATACCTTTTGTTTCACAATTTTTTTCTTAAAAAAACAAAAATGTCAAAATTAAATATGCTTTATTTAATTCACTTTATTGTGCAAATATTTACCTTCAAGATAGGATTTTTCAAATTCATGATTTTTGTGAGTTTAGAAAAATAGAAACATAAAAAAAAAAAAAAAGAGAAAAATAGAAGAAGGAAAAAAGACATTGAGATAAATAAAAAAATATTTTTTTTATTGAACTGAAAAATTTGACAAATCATAAGATTCCTAAATATCACTACCTCAATATAGCATGCTTTAATATCAATTGAAAACTTTATATTGAAATTTTAAAATAATCATATAAACCATATCATAATTATTTTGAATAATGTTCTTTATAGAAATATATTAATAGATATCTAGAATATTTATATAATCTTGTTAGAAAATTTGAATATGTCAAATAAGCAAATAATTTACGTGTGCATAAGTTAAATACAATGTGTTATGTGACATCAATAATTGATAACTATATATGCTTAATTGGTTTAATGGCAAATTTAACTCACATTTTATTGCGATTTGGTAATTTCGGACTCATAGTATCAAATCACTTAATTTAAACTTCAAAGTATTGGAGATTGAAAAAATGTAATTCAAATTGCTCAATCTTTATTATTTGTAACGGTTAACTAGAATGACCATTACTTGAAATGTCAAAACGGCATCGTTTTGACATTCTACTCGTAAATTGTGTTTTTTAAAAAAACTAAAAATATTTTAAACCCTCTAATCTTGAGCTTTTTTAAAAACGAAATTCTTATAAAATATTTTTATTTATGTTTTTAACCTCCTAATTTTGAACTTTGTTTTAACCTTATAAAATATTTTTAATTTTTATAAAATATTATAAAAGATTTTTTTATATAATTTATAAAATTAAGGGGTCAACCCTTAATTATGCTCATTTTAATTTAAAAAATATTTTTTAGGGCTTGACACTATGTGTTGTTAATTATGTTTTTTTACGATAACATTTTATTAAAAAAAAAAAAAGGGTCAAAATTAGGCGATAAAAAATATTTTAAAAATATTTTAAAAAATTATAAAATATTTATACATTTTATAAGAAAAGAAGTTTTTTAAAAAAGTTCAAGATTATGAGGGTTAAAAATATTTTTTAAAAAAATAATTAACGACGAGAATGCCAAAACAATATCATGTTGGCATTTCAAGTAGTGATCAACCAAGTTAACCGCTACACATAACGAAAATTAGACAATTTGAATCATATTTGTCTAATCTCTAATATTTTGAGGTTTAAATTATGCAATTTTATATTATGGACCTAAATTCCCAAATCGCAATAAAATAGAAGCAAATTTTAACATTGAATCGGTAAATAATATTATATATGATTTTTTATTCATATACGCCTCTTTCCTAGCCAAATTTGATAAGAGAGAGAGACAGAGACAGAGAGAGCAAGTATTGAAATTTAAAGTAAAAGGCTACTTTTCGTTTGACAAAGCAATTCAAATTAAAAAACACAAAAAGGTTTAGAATATTTACTATTCGATACTATTCACTTATATTCAAAATATTATTAATTTATCATTTATTTAGACCCATATGCACTATGTAGTAGTATTTTTTTAATTTTTAGGTTGTCTTTAGGGTATTTATATCCTAGTTTTGCTTGATATTGCACTTTGCTCCCCGATGTTTTCAAAAAAAATTATTTTGATCTTCAAATTTATTTTCGTCGCAATTTATTTCATAAATAAAAAGTTAGGAGAGAAAAAACTATGATTGACTCTAATTTTAACCTCTTTTGTGGGCGATCTTGCATTTATATTATTTATCTTGTTGAGAAGAGTGATAATTTTGAGTCATAAAATTATTGAAAGAGATAGATTAGAACCTAAAAAAAATTTAAAATTTTCATTTGATATATATTAATGTGCATTAAAAGGCTTTTTTTATATATAATTTTTTTTAGAATTGAAATGGGTGTAAAAATATAAAAAAGCAAACATTATTTTTTTTAATTTTTCACACAGGCTAATGGTGATGAAATATATATGATATGATTTCAATAATTAGAATAAACATATATATATATATATATATGTTACTTTTGTTGTTTAAAATTATTATTTTTTATTTGTGTTTGTTATGGAAGTTCTCATGAAATTATTTTTTATATATATAATTTGATTTGTTAATAAATATGATTTACTTTTCTCTATATATTAAAGTTTGAATAAAATTTTAGAATATGGTTATTTTATCTTTTCTTAATGAACATATGTATGGAATTTTTTTCCTTATTGTTTCAAATTGATTTTTTTTTAATTTTTCATTTCTTATGAAAATTCTCATGAAATTAATTTTTAATTTTTTTATGTATAATTTTATTTGTTAATAAATATGACTTATTTTTCTCTATATATGGATTTTTGAATAAAATTTTAGAATATCATTATTTATCTTTTTTTAATATACTAATATAATTCATATGATTGATTCTTATTTTTTTTAAATAAGAGTGTTAAAAAATTAAAAGTACATTTTAGATAATTTGTCTCAAACCTTCTAAAAAAATCAATTAAAAAATAGAATTTACACCTTTTATTTGATTCTTTTTTTTATAATAAAAATTTATTGAAATTAATTTATAATTTTTTATTTCAATTTATTAAATTTAATATATTTTTTTGCAATTTATTTATTATTTATTATTTATATATGTTGTACACTCTAAATCTACTGAGTATGGTCAATGATACGTAAATAAAAAAATTTGAAATAATTGATTTTATTATAAATTAACTATAAGAACAACCATTGGTTATTAATTTTTTTTAATATTCTAAAATTATTTTTTAAATAAAATAATATTTTAGAAGAATCATCCAATGATGCAAATACAACTTTTTATACCAATATTATTGATTGTTGTGTGAATATATATATATATATATATATATAAAGTAAATGTATATCTTAAAAAAAAAATCTCATAAGCGTTGGATAAGAATGAAAAAAAAAATCATTCGTTAATTTTTATATTAATAGTTGCTTTATTTTTTTGATGTAATCTTATGAAAAAAAATATTTAAACAATTTTTAAAATTTTGGATTAAATATTCTATTTAGATTATTTAATTTTTTAGTTAAAAATCAATACATAAAAAATAATAAATCGTGTTTTTGAACTACAAATTTATGAAAAACATAATGAAGAATAAATTATATAAAAAAAAATTATCTTTAATTCAATATATTTTATTAAACCTATAATATAGTACACGCTATTAAATTAATATTATTTTTGCAAATGATTTCACGTGTTCTACTCAATCGCAGGCAACCAACTAATATTTACTAACCGAATTCGATATGAAGCTAATATGACAAAATAATAATAATAATGTTAGCATAATTTCGTTCAAAACCCAAATCATAATTACTAAAGCAAATTATCCATTAATCAATATAGTAAAAAGATGGATGTCATACTACATGTAAGATAAATTAAATATGCTCAAGTATATTAATGAAGTGAAAATTAATAGAATACACATATTTGAAAAGATGATGCTGTGAAGAAGAAAGAGCCTTCTAATCAATATCAATACTTTAAAATTTGATCTGCATCGTTGAAAAGACAGTCTATACTTAATACTTATATAGCTAGATTACGAATTTCTTAAAACTCAATTATTACACTTCGATCCACCATGAATATGCTTAGCCAAACATGACACATGGATTATACTACACGAATTTTTCTCACAATGAGTGCTTAGAAATTCGCTAGTTCCCTTGATGGAGAACCTATGGCTTCTTCCAGCTTTTCTTCTCCTCTATGGAAAGTTATTTGGAGGTTAGCCCTTCCGCAAAAGATCAAAGTCTTTTCATGACGTGCCTGTTGCAATGCTTTGCCTAAAAAAAATGAACTTGCAGCTAAGGTCAGTCTCTTGAGATGCTTTGTGCCCTTGATGTTCCCTGTTTGATGAGTCTGTTCTGCATACTGTTGTTGAATGCTCTTCAATAGCTTCAATCTGGGCGAATGGTTTAGGGAATTTGGAGGCTGATGTTCCTGGTATGGTTTTCATCGATTGGTTTTGGCATAAAGCTCAACAATTTGGATATGCAGTTTGCTCGAAAGACTTTGCGTTCAGATAAGGATGGCCTGGACTCATCGCAATAATTGTGTTTTTGGAAATGTAACTCTTGATCATGGATTTGATTCAAGAATTTCAGAATGCCAGTATCTCTTCTGGACTCCAGGTTACTGATGACAGTATGAGAAATGCGTGATTGGAAGAAACCTCCAGATCAAAGCGTTAAGATCGGTGTTGATGGTGCTACTAATTAATGCTGATTCAGGTGCGCTAGGCATTGAGATTATTATTAATTAGAGATGCTGATGGCGGTTTCTTGGCTGCCAGGACAAAAATGTATGAGAAATTTTCGTGAAAGGACTCAATTCTGCAGGCAATGCTATTCATGGCAATTTGCGTTTGGAGATCAAAGTGTTGTTGGAGGAAATTTCTCATTCTAAAGTTCCACTACACACGAGAAGAGTTTCGTAGGCTTTTTCGGCCTTTTATACTTTTTGGCCCATTATTAAGTAAATAAATAAAACTATTGGTGATATTTAGGATAGACTTCCAAGTCTATTGATCCCTTTCTTGTTTGATTGGAACGAAGTTTGGTTTTACAATAACAGCATAGGTGGAAAAGAGTTGTGACTGTCAATTAAATAATTTTTATTTCTGTAAAAGTCAATATATATCTTTTGTATGGATAAATTGATTATATATCATAAAATTCGACCTCGTCTATTCAAAATTAAAGTTTGGAATATATTCATAAATAGATCTAATCAAACATGGAATATATTACTTTATTAAAAACTTAATAACACGATATTTTAACCTCAAACGGAACGGATCTTCTCCTCCATGTCATCGGAACCCTTGGCCACAAGTTGCATGGGCACGAATATTGATGCAGTAGGTCTGGTCATGAATCGTGCCAGAACAAATCTGGGTTGATTGGGCCTTGGACCTATGGGCTATGTAGCCTGCTATAAATGGGTCTCTTAATAAGGATAAGGATTCTGGCTATGGAAATTGGAACATTCCATGTATGGGAACAAGACAAGAAAAATAATAATAATAAGTTATAGAAATGATGTGAGACCCACGAGTTTCTACTTTTTCGCTTTTAACGGATAAGGACTGAAGACCCACGCCTCTCTCCACACGCCTTCACAATTCTTACGACACCCCGCCATGAAACACGGCTACCGGATAAGGCGGGTCCCGCACCCTTTAATGATGAAAAGTAAGGAAAACGATTTTTTTTTTTTCGTTTATAAAATTCATTATTGGAATTGGGGATCTCTAACAAAATCCAAAACAGTTGCGACTTCGTAATCATTTTTGCTAGCCAACGTGGCCCAATTAACCGACCCCTATACAAAATGCTCGATGACGGGGGCCATCGACGACTGATGATCTTTTATTTATCATCACATTCGTACTTCTTGCATCATAGTTAATGAAAAGAAAGGCTATAAAAAGAATAATAAGAAGAATGTCTTTCATTTATTAGATAAGAATTTTTATTCTTATTTTTTTTAAATTTCTCTGTCTTTTTTTATATAGCTTTAAAATCAATCAAAGATCAATGGTAATCAAGCATTAAATTAACTTAAAAAATAATACATTTAATTTCGATTGATATGAAAATTTATTCAAATATATAATTATTAATAAATAAATAAAAATTTCATCATAATTGATGGTATTTAGGGAAAAAAAATCATAGTCGTTATGGTATAAGGAAGCTTTCTTTGATACTTATAATCATTAGCATGACTCTATATATATATAAGCGGGGTCGGCTTTATAATATATGTGACCCTAGGTAAAATAATATTTTTCTTAATAATTTTCAACTATATTTTCATTTAAATCTTTATCTTATTCTTCTAGTATTTAGGGTTTAACATTAGTAACAAATCTATCAAGTGCACATTTTTGGGATTGAATTAGTTCTTCTACCTTTCTTTTTTTCTTACATTTTTAATATTCAAATTCATACTTTCTAATAGACATTTTATTCAAATAATAAAATTAAAATATAATTATAAAAAGAGTAAAAAACTTTGGCACTTGATTATATTTGCTTGCCACACCTAATCAAGTAAACCTGGAGAGAATCACTCGAGAAAATAAAAAAAATTGAGAAAAAAATAAAATATTATATGATTTATATACATAATTTTATTTGCATAAATTAAAAAATTTACCTTCGATTCTTACGCCAAGCTAATTAGAAAAGGTTTTATAAGAGATCTCCGATTGTTTGGAGAAAGAAAGGAATGTAATAACAAAATTTGGAATCTAAAAATTGTTTCACTCATAAATATTTTTTTAAAACTTTCCCGTAAGTAAAAGTATCTAATTAAAATAAAAATTGAAAGCTTTTATAGGTAGAAAGTAACTTGAAAATACATATAGAAAAGGTAGAATTTTTAACGTTGAAATAGTAATATCTCTAAACAATGAGAGCCTTTCAATGCGGTAAATCTAGTACCTATGACTCGTTAATAGAGAGAAGAATGATGTCTCATACTTAGGTGAAAACCGCATCTTTTAATTTATCTCATTCTTCACCGATGTAGGTTTAGGGTAAAAATTTAATTATGGCCCTCCTTTCTATGGGGGCCCTAGGCATAGGCCTTAATGGCCTATACCTTGAGCCGGCACTATATATAAGTTCAAATGTTTAAAATCCATATTTTTTGTAGTGAATCAAAATCCAGAGTTTAAGTTAACGTAGTGCCTATATGAATTGTAAATCCAAAGTTTTTCTACACTAATTCTGTCATTCTAATTTAGATGAAAAATCCATTGATAGCACAATAACATAAAAATGAATATTTGTAGAAAAACATGAAATTCTTATGATGGTAAAAAAATATTTTAATTAAAAAAAAATTATAATCACCTTATCAATATATCTATTTTTATCCATTACATTCCAAGAATTTACTCCGCTAAATGTTGAACATCCAATTCAAAAAGTTAAGAGAGATAATAAACCTTTTCAACCACCATTAGACGACCAACCTTTTTAAAATTTTGTAAGGTACAATTACCAAATAATGCTTCAGACCGTTACAAATTCAAATAGATATGTTTCTAAATATAATTGATTTTGTAATGTTATATACTTTAATTTATTTTATATAAATAAGTACTTATTGATTTGTGATTTAAGGCGACATGTTTTTTTGTGGAATAAATGTGAACTAAAATAAGGAATATATATATTAGTCATGGATAAATGCGTAAGAAAGCAATAAGAAAAGAAAATGATGATAAATGAAAAAAAAAATCAAAACAATCACTAGCAAAAACATGATGTAGATAATTCATTGAATGATTAAATTTAAAATTATAAAGAGTGTGAAAATATATAGGAAACAAGTGTAAAAGTAAAAAATATTTATATTTGTATACTTCGTATTTATTAGAAAGAATTAAATAAATTTTATTGGTTTTGTTCCAAATATGATTAGTTAAAATTTTAATATGAGATGAAAATATTTTTAAAAAATAACAAAAATCTAATGATTGATTCTATTTTTAAAGAACACTATTGGTGGTTGTGTGATTTTTTTTTTTTTCTTTTATCCTCGTCAATACATGTCCATAAAAACATCTGTATAAACAAATATTTGCCCCCTTGGAAAGGAGTTTATGGCATGATCAAACCGACCCTTTAGCTTGCTGCAATTATATTAATATTAACCATATTAAAAAGAAAGGAGCTTATGGCATCACCTCACCTTCAATTATCAAGTGGAAGCATAAGTTAAACCGTTATAATTTTGTTTATTAATATTAACCATATTAAATGGAATGAAGTATTTGTATAGAAAAAGAAAATACTGCCAGAAGTAATTGATATAATTATAAAAATAAAATAAGCATGGCTAAAATAATCAGACTAATATAATGACGCTGTTGAATGATGATCCTTTAGGACAAAACAACCTTCACGCTCTCTAGGTATTCTAATCTGACTAAATTCTTTAGTGAGAATATATCTCCAAAGCCAGTACTTGTGTTCAGTGTTCTCATCAAGCCGCAAAGTTAATCCAATCCTTAAAAAAGAAAAAAAGAAAAGAAAAAAAAATCAGGCAGCGTTGTCCTCCCCTTTGCAAGCACCGCGATAAAGAAAAAAGGATAAGCTCGTAGGTTTGACGTGGTTTGAGAAAACCAACCAGAAAGAAGCAAGTGTGATGATATGGAATGTGACTGTAGCTTTAAATGGAGAAGAAGGTCAGTAATTTAAAAAAGGTGGGTATTTTTGTAATTAAGCAAGAAAAGTCCGTACGAGAGAGAGAGAGAGAGGATAAGATGAGGAAAATGGAAGGAGTCTGGCGAAAGTGCAATCCAAGGATCCTTTGTCCCCTACGTTTTATCCGCATCGGACTCCGCATTTCCAGGAAGGACTTCTTATTCCTCACTATTACAACTCTGCCATTCAAATTGCATTTTTTTAAAAAGTTGCACCGTCAAGGTAACTTTTCTTTAGTCGTACAACCAAAACCATAAATGAATAAAACTAAGCTTCCAAGTCCTTTTGATGGAGCCAACAAATTAAACTATTAGCAACTTAATAAAAATAATATCATTGTCTAAAAAACGAACAATATCATTATTATTGATGAATAAGTTCAATTTCTACTTCCATCTGAATGGCTTTTTTACTTCTTTTTTTTTTCATTCCCTATAAATTTCAGCATACAACACCAATGTTTTTTCAACCCATGATATGCATGCATCCTTCTCTTGAATTATTTTTTAAAAAATAAACAAAAAATGAGGTTAGTTGAGTTATAATAACCTATTGAGTTTAATTGTTGAGACTTAAGTTGATTGATAAGCGTCAAATGCTCACCGTTCTATAATTTATAGTTTGAAATTAAAAAAAAAATGAAAAGAAAATATTTTTTTAAAAAAAATACAAAATTATGGCGGAGTGCACAAAATTAGAAGAAAAGAAAAGAATTATTTCTTGCTGTGGAAGAAAGAGAGAGAGAGAGAGAGAGAGAGGAGGGGGAAAAAAGGCAAAAGTGGGTGGAAACGTAATAGTAATAAATGATTAGTACCCAAACTGGATGCTACATAGAAAAATGGCGAGGTCGAGCAGCCGCTTTCGATGTAGGACCACTCACACTCACATTCTCTATCTATCAATTCTCTCTTGACAAAATAACAATAAAAATCAAAATAAGTGAGGGCGTTAAAAGTGAAGGTTTCTTTCACCTCACTCCAGTTTTATCTAAAAAAAGGTATTTGTTATGAAACTGTGCATAAGGTAGTTTTCTTCGATTTAATTTTGAGTTTTATTTAGTATATAATCAAGGAATACTACTCTCATTATTTAATTCAAAACTTTCTTTCAAAAAAAACAAAAACAGCTTCAGCTCATTGTTGATCATTATAGCACCACACAGCCACACAGCTAATATCCGTGGCTCTAATAATAACGATGATGACGACGATGA